AGAATTACAACTTTAGTAAAATAAATACAAATAGAATACAACGTCAGTAAAATAAATACACAGGTTAGGAAAGATCACCGTTGGAGCATCACTAGTGATACCAAAATAATCTGAAACTGGCTTTCCAATATCTTCATTATCCGTTTGCACATATACGAAGATAAGCTGCATGTAACCACACATACATTTAAGAGAACATATACATATAAGACTAAAGAATTTGGATTAAATTCTATCTTCATTATAATACTGCATGTACAAAGATCAGATGCTCGTATGTATTGAGATCATAGAGAACAAACAAAACAACGTCACTGGAAATTAATGCACAATGGCAAACCTACTTGAAGGACAATGTTGCTGAAATAAGACTGCATTTATTCATTTTTCTTATTAATTTGATATGAAACAATATTTCATCAATATGAAGATACAAACTGAAATACAAAAGTTCCAGAGGCACATCCAACCCCCCACCCCCCCTTCTCTTCCCTAATGTTGTCAAAAATCCTCTCTTTGTTGCCACACCACCCCAAACACAGCCATTATACCACCAACATAGCATTAAACATCTCTCTCTTTTTTTCTTTTTTTTTTGGTAAAGTCAATTCTAGAAGTCTAAAAAACTATGTTGTGATTTCAAAGAAAAAGAAAACGAACTTTGCAATCATTACAAATGTTCCTTTATATGTAATCATTATTTTAGATACTCCTGAATAGTTTCTATGACATATTTTAGAGCACTTGCTGATAATAACCTTACCTTTCCTTTGAAAAGTTTTGCTGCCGCTTGAAAATCTGGGAGAACCTTCTCTGAATCTTTTGAAGTGGCAAAGAGCAAAAGCTGGGCATAGAAAGTTTTATATAGGTCAACCAGCATGAAATGTTAATACTCCATTGCAAAGAGTTCGATAATTTTGAAGTCGCGTCTATAAAAAAAAAAATTCAAACATTCGCCAAAATACCTGCTTCTTGATTTCACTTTCAAAAATTTGAGGGGCATTTTCCCTAGTAAAAGTGATGACTAAAGGAAGCTTGTTCGCAAAGACAAACTCAGCAATTGCAGACTTCTCGAATTTACCATCTGCAGAAATGAGAAACTGAGGATAGAGTAAAGGAAAATAAAACAATCAAATTGAGACAACTCACCCAATGCGACAATAAAAAAGAGACTAACCGAAATAACTTAGTTTCTCAGCCTCCTTCTTAAGCAGGATCAAAGCAGGTCGTTTAACTTCAGGGTCAAGATGGAAAAGTTTTGCCACCTTAGGATCCACTGTTTGGTAAAAGTTGACATCATCTTCAAGTCTTGAAGCAGCAGCAAGCTCATCACTCTCGGGACCCTGTTATCATGAGGAGAAGGCATAATGACAATGAGTAACAATATATGGGAGACAGATTACAATAGCTATTGAATAAAGCAAAAAATTGAGTATTTGTTATGCTTCATGAATCACCTATTTTTAGATTCCTATTCTAGATTATGTTCGATTAGATTAACATATCTCTGATTCAGTTTGCATTTGACAACCAAACATGCCCTGATAAATTCAGGTACTTCCATGTCAATGTGCAATTACCGAGCAAAACTTTATGGCGTCAATTAAAAGCCCGCTGCTTTGACCAAAGTTCTAAATTTAAGATTATCACCGTTCCTAGACCAAATTTCAAAACTCTCACCGCAAGCTATAAGAAACTTTGCACTCTAATTACTGCTATAAAATTACATGGCCATCCCATGCATTATCATAACAATCATAAAATCAAAGAATTTCAGATTTCATAAAGTAAACCCAAAAAAAGGCAAAAGAGGGGAAACATAATGAAAACGCAATAAGCATACCACCAAAGAATTAAGGTAGCCCAAAACGACTTTACTTTCAGAAGTCAATATGCGTTCCGCCTCGTCCAATGTCGTCACATTTTGAATACCAGGTCCTATCTTCTTCTTGATCCATGTAACTATGCCCTCTCTGAAATCACATTTCGGAAAAAGAGAAGAAAAAAAAAACACTCAATTTCTGTAATTTTCATAATTGTATCAAACTAAATGAAAAGTTAGAAATAAATAATTGCAAGAAAGAAAGAAGAAACTCACTTGGTCCTTTGACCTGTGTAAGGCTTGTGAACACCATCAATGAAGAAGAACACAGTAGGGAAACCCTCGACGCCATAATCCTGAGATAGCTCGTTTTCCTCAGTGGCATCGACTTTGGCCAAAATTACATTTTCGCCCTTGAGCTCGGTGGCTGCAGCCGCGTACTCCGGAGCCAAGGCCTGGCAGTGTCCGCACCACGGCGCGTAGAACTCAACCATGACGAACCTGTTCTTCTCCACCGTGTCGCTGAAGTTCGTCCCCTTCAAAACGACGACGTCCTTCTCGTCCACCTCGGGCTCCTTATACGCGTCCTCATGATCGCCGCCGCCCTCGTCGAAATCGGAGAAATTCTCGAGATCGTCGTAATTGTCTTCATCGTAATGGTCCGGATCTGGATAGTGCGGTGCGGCGTCGTTTTGGTCGCTTGGCTCCTCGAGGAAGCTGAGATCTTCGTATTCGTCGTCGACTGGATTTGAGCCCTTGCAGCGGGAGAACAAGAGGAGAGCACTGAGTGTGAACACGAGAACGAGTCGACTCGCCATTTCGAGTGAGTGAGCGAGCTAGTTGGGGGATGGATCAGTGAGAGTGAGATCTGGTTTAAGCAGGGGTTTATAGAGACAGTGGAAGGAGGAAAACTGGACGAGTCAAGGTGGGGAAGCGACGCCGTTTTGGGGGCTTGCCGTTGCAGTTGCAGTTGCTGGATTTGGCATTAAAGCATTTTCACGTTGACCAGGAATTAACTCCGCACATTAGTTTAGTTTAGAAAGTAATTCTAGATTTTTTTTTTCATTATTGTTTTGCCTATTTTTGTCTCCAATTAATAATTTCCACTTAATTTCTTTTTCCTTTTAACTAAAACCCAAAAAGAAAAGCAAAGGACCCATTGGTGAAGTGGTTTGGAGCAATTGCTCTCTCCAAGAAAGGTCATATTTTTTAGTCATAGTGTGTGTGAGTTTAGTATATTATTGTTCCTCTCAATAAAATAAAAAGTCATTAAAAAAAACCCAAACAAAAATGTTTCTTTTCCACCAATTAGAATGTCATAATTTTTATTTTTTTTTATTTTTTATTTTTTGGGTCTAAACCATGAGGTGGTCCTGGATGGGCCCCAACTATGGGTGGCACCTTTAAGCCTTAACCACAACCCAGACTAATCCCCACTCACACCGGGTCGGCCCGTAAGGGGTAAAGTGTTGGCCAAAGTGGTGACTCCGTACGAGAGCAGGGTCGAACCTCTGACCTCTCTTAAGGAATGAGAGTGCCGAACCACTCACACCAACCACCTTGGTTTAGAATGTCATAATTTCAATTAAGAAAAAAAAAAGACAAAACTATTTGAAAGAAGTCCTAAATTCAATTAAGAAAAGACTACAAAAAATTATTTTTTCACTAAAATGAAATTAAGATAAAACAATAGTTTTCGTACTGCGTAGATGACCATTGCATGCATAGAACTTGCGTTGTCTGATTTTGCATTTCCCCCCTCATATTATATTAGGGACTCGGAAAAAAAAAAATCAAACTTATTTGTAAGATCAATGGTTGAGGTTGAGGTAGATGACATAATCTATATATATAAAGCAAAAGGCAGAGAATAGTGAAACATTCAAAATACCAGAAAATGCTCTTTAGTTAATGCAAACATTAAGAATTAAAATTATTAATTAAATGAGGATAATATGGTAAATTCACACTTTTCATATAAAAAAAATTAAAATTAAAAGAAAAATCAGATAATGGATCTTATTTTTGGAACACAACTACCCATTATCTTTTTTAATTCTAAAATAAATTTTAAAATTTTAAAAAAATGCCTAGAGGCTAGTATTATTAAATTATTTAGTATAAAGTGTAACTCTATACTATTCTATTAAAAATTGCGATAATATACTAAACTCACACAAACAACACATATGCTAGGATTTGAACCCACGACCTTGTCTGGGGATGCAATTACTTTATACCACTACACTAATGAGCCCTTTGCTTCAATTTATTACTTATAAAACAATAAACGAGCCGTTACAGTATATTAGTATCAGCTTCCTTCGTAAAATGCAAAACTGCAACGATAATTAATATCATAATTTGAAGTAGTGGAGATACAAGGTCTCAACTATACTTCTTTTTTTTCTCCTAACAACCCTCCACTAGTGAGTCTTACAACGTGTGAAACGTGAAGAGATAGAAAAGCAAGTATAGAGGCTTGGGATATGCTCCATCATAAATAAATGAAGGAAATATTTCTTTATGTTGGAGATTTGGTTTACATTGACTGCATGTTCATTGAATTGCTTGGCATGGAAGCACCACAAACAAAGCTAGGGTTAGCAGTGGATCTCAGAAAACGGTTTACTTTACTTGTAGCGCGGCTTTTGCTATCCAAGAATAGAAAATTCCTTCGTTTTTTTTTTAAGTGTCAACTAATCTTTTGTTAGCATTTCTCTGTATGATGTTTGAAGAGTTCCGAGTTCGAATTTCCCGTCCTTTTGATAAAAACAAAAAATAGAAGTCCGATTGCAGAGTGTTTTATACTTCTATTCATGCACTGCTTCCATGAACATTCAGTTTCACTACACTCTCAACTTATCTTTGCTTGGTTGGCAAAAAATTTCACGAAAACATGTCGAGCAATTTAATTAAAATATATTTTGGATTAAATAGAACATTATTTATACCACCAAAGTCAGTGATTTTCTTGCACATTTATAGCTTTTAGGCAATGTGGTAAATTTGTCGTTGGCCAGAAGAAAAGACTTAAAAGGATGGCAGAGAGGCAGATAAACCCTGAAACTTTGCTATTTTCATTTGATTTATATACTCGAGAATGCTTTTATAATATGTATTTTTCTTCTGTAACTAATTACAACCAATCAAATCTATAAAAGAATTAAGTGAAACATACAGGGAGGTTCATTTGAAAAGCTCACTCCCAAGAGTCACAGCACCTATCGCCTCATCAACTTCTACATGAAAGTGGCTAATTTCGCTCGCTCGATGAATTCTTTCTAGCTCTTCAACGACAATCTGCATTTGCAGCCTTTGCTGACTAGCATCTATGCACATCAATGCCAACTCCATCATTTGCTTTGCAGCTTGCATTGAGTTGTCACCTAATGTTCTATCAACAAATCTGCCCAAATCATTGCAACCCTTCGCCTTCAAATGCAAAACGAACTTGTAAGAACTGAAAGGTTTGAGAAAAATTAACAGCAGGCTGCACTTGTCGCTTTCGCATTTTCTTCACAATAACATTACATGTGCAGATTCTAAGAATGAAAAAAGGGTTGTATGTTTGTGTTATGAACTAAAAAGTACCAATTCTTAGTCAGTCAGTGAAGTTCCTGATGGCTTATGCCTAAAAATATAAATGAACTGACTTGTCTAGCTGAGCCAATTGCCTTAAATAATGATAACAATGAAGACTATTTCAATAAGAAAGTTATAATTAGGGAGAGATACAGATATGTACCTGCAGTATTAAATTATCCCCTGAGCTTAACTGGATTCTTCCATTCGCCTCACGTCCACTGATCAATTCCAGTAAGAAGACCCCAAAACTGTACACATCACTTTTCTCTGAAAATTTCTTTGATAAGTCTAACCTTTAGGGGAAGAAAGGCTCCAATTAGAAATCATAACAAATTCAGTCTAAACACAAAAATCATAGTTCTCAAATGAATGAGATATGCAGGTTTTGTCTTTTTAATTGGAACATTCAACTCAGAATTCGAAGCAACTTCGATTATAAGAACTGAGGTAATGTATGAAGCCCTCCACAAGCAGATTGTTACTAGCTGCTCAATGTAGTACTAGAAGAAAGTTAAGCCGTATTACCATAATACAATCAACTTCTAATCTTGACAGTTCGTACTCAGCTGAGTATAGATTAAATTTCTGTAATAGAACTTAAAACAAATTCTGTTAGAGGAGTCTAATTTACAACGAGAGGTGAATCCAGAAGAAGAGCATCAGATGCTAGGAGGACAAAAGAATATCAGTTGACATTTTGAGAAGAGTATGCATGCCTCTGATGGTAGCGCAAAGACCCCTAGCCACCATAACATAGTATGCTTATCAAACGCATATCCATGAGGAAATTTATCTAGAGTTACCTTCTGCTAAATTGACCTAAAAGAAGTGCAGGGTTATATAATAGACTGAGTGACCAAGACCAATGGTAATGTTAGCTGCTATTACATTACAGGTACATAGATGTGCCATATGCATTCTACCATGGAGCATATAAACTTTAGTGAGAGAGATTACATACTCCGGGTCAAGAAAGTAATCTATGGTGGAAGATGATCCGGCATGATGACCCTTAACTAGCAATTTGGTTAGTCCATAATCAGACACCTTGGCAGTAAAGTTTTCATCCAGTAGAACATTGCTTGTCCTGAAATACATGTGCAGGAGAGGAGGCACCAAATTGTGAAGATGCGCAAGTCCTGATCCAAAATAGAAGTAGGGGGAAAATTCATTTGTGTTTACACAAAAGAGAAAGATGAGCACAAGAACTTGAACCAGCTTATGTACCTTTAGCTGCTCCCAAAGCAATCGATAACCTTTGTCTTATGCCCAACTTTCCAATAGGTAAACCTTCGGCATCTGCATAATTATGTGGTTAGAGAGAGAGAGAGAGAGAGAGAGAGAGAGAGAGATTACCATAAAGATGATTTCCAACATTCCCATTGGGAAAATATTCATAGACAAGTAACTGTTGACTAGCATCTTGACAATAACCAATAAGCCTGAGAATATGCACGTGGTTGACATGAGCTATGCGCTTCACCTGTATGGAATCCAGAGAATGCAACATACTCAGAAGTGCTGCTATCAAAAGAGTGTCTAGACAGTATCTCACTAAGAAAGTCATGGTTTACTCGCGAAGAAATCTGATTTGACACTTGTGTACCTCATGAAAGAAGTACTGAGTTGGGGCATGTAGACGTCTCTTGATAGCTACAATAGATCCATCTTGCAGCAATCCCTTGTAGACCAAACCAAATCTACATTGGCCTATGATATTAATTTCATTGAAATTGCATGTCGCTTGTTCCAGTTCCAATATGGTGAGTTGTCTCAAGTTCTGTGTATTATACACAGAGAGAGCAACGGCGTAGGGAGACATATTCCTTCTTTCCCATTCAACTGAAAGAAATGAAAGAAAAAACTAATTCACTGAACTTACCCATCGAGCCAAATCATAACCTTAACATTTAAAATACCAATTAATACAACGTATAAATAAAAATAATGCATAAATGAACTTCTCTATAAGCTTTATCACATCCTACTGTTTACTTCTGCTAAATTGCTAATTTTCTCTTGTGCTCAAACAAATTGATTTATCTTGAGGGCCTGTTTGGGAAACTCCAACTCAAAAGGGGGATGCCAAAATTGTATGAAAGCGCTGTTGCGTCCAGAAACTTATTAGTTAGCTCAATGCTGTTCCAAATTTCTATTTTGAAGCCTTCATACAGATTCATTTGACTTAAAGAGAACACACAGGGCAACAGATATTCCACATGTTTATGTCATGCCCCTTTCATCAACTGCCTGGAAGGCTGAAGGCATATGCAGGGCATCGCAAGAACTAATCCATATAAATTTTTGGCAAATGATAAACGCTATAGTTAGATCTTGCCTCATTTTACACCCTTTCAGGGTCTGAAAATTTCCAGTCTAAAATGGCTATAAGCTAACTCACCAGTCTGAAAATTTCCAGTCTGAAAATTCATTTGACTTAAAGAGAACACACAGGGCAACAGATATTCCACATGTTTATGTCATGCCCCTTTCATCAACTGCCTGGAAGGCTGAAGGCATATGCAGGGCATCGCAAGAACTAATCCATATAAATTTTTGGCAAATGATAAACGCTATAGTTAGATCTTGCCTCATTTTACACCCTTTCAGGGTCTGAAAATTTCCAGTCTAAAATGGTTATAAGCTAACTCACCAGGAGGTGATGGTACGGATGACTCTGTTTCAGATGTTCGTCTAATGAATCTTTTCACACGCATCAAACAGATGTAAACAATCACCACTATGATAACCACAAGCAGAGCTGCAGCAACTCCACCAATAAGTGCTGCAACTTTCTGTTTTCTTAGATTGTTACCACGTGCTTCTTGCACAGGTGTGAGTGTTGGAGCACCATTATCCCCATCAACTATGGCTGCTATCCTCCTGTTTCTTGGTTTATGGAGCTCTTTTTGTAATTGAATTGAAGAGTGTGCAACAACAAGTCTTGGAGAAAATGGGGACAAATTGACTGTGTTAGCCCGCCGAGGAACTGAATGGATACCAGAAAACCTGCTACAGAATAACATCTAAGATGATTTTTCATGTTCTACAGAAATGAGTGATCAAAAGATGAAACTGAATCAAAAATTCGGAGTTGAGTAGGATAGGTAATGATAAGAAAATTGTTTTAGGATAGTGGCAATCTTCATAAGACTCCATCAGTAACTAGTTAAACATTATTTTTAAATGGAGGCACCTACCCTGTTCTTTTAAACTAGTTAAACATGATACACTAATCTGGAATCTTGAAGTAAAACTAAGAGAACATAATTGCATCAGTGATCCAATACAATCTACTGCTCCCAAGGAGTCGGTTCGTAAAACTAGCAACTAATTACAAACCAGGCGATTGACAGTTTAAGCTAGTAGACTAGAAAATCAAGGTTGCTAACTTTTGATTGACAATTATAAATAGGGAAATGCAAAAAGATCAAGTTGCTAACTTTTGATATATCCATACTATGAAGACAACGTTTTTTTTTTTAGTTTGATTTTCCGATGCATCCTTATACCCTTCTGCACATTACAGACCGCACACACACACACACACACACACACACACACAGACACACAGAGATCTTACAAAGAAACAACATACCGGTCCTTATGGCAGTTGACAATTTTCCATTGTCTTAGACATGGATATCTTCGGATTTGACCATTGAATAGTTGAGGACCTCCAACTCTGCTCTTGAAAGTTTGTAGAGCTTCAGCTATAGGTTTCAGAAAGGGGAAAAAGAATAAGAAGTCAGTATTCTTTCATGGCAATTACAATGGAAAGCAAAGTATGGTACTCAAAACAACAGACTAAACATCTGCACATTTTGCGTCTACTGTATGCCTAGCCAAACCATTAAGAACACGACCAAAACTATGTACTTTTTGACCAAAAATAAATAAATCATATGAGTCTTGTTGCACAGCTTCTTAAAAAGGAAAATTGCAGTATATCAGTTCAAAAGGGAAATCTGGAAAGTGTTCCACCATACTTGTACATGCTCATCTAATTTTAGACCTCTCTGTACAAGGCAATTCCAATTCTAATCACCATGCACATGCTCAAAACAGCAATTCAAATATATATATGACCTTCATTTGAGCCAAATAACAATAGGAACAATTTGGTTGCTTTTAATTCTTCCTGAGGAACTCATTCATCCTAATTATGTGCAGAATAAGAATGCATTCGGAAAAGGAAAGTTAGAGAAAGCGTACCATATATTTTGTAGCCTGTTCTGCCGGGTTCCAAAAGTTGGATCAGTAAAAGCAGAGGCAGCTGTTGCCACCAGAACAAGCGCATTGTCAATAAGCATCAACCCATTGAAACCCTCCAAAACCCGTATCGCATTAGACCTGCTTTTCAAATAACCTGGAAGAGTTTAAACTACAAATGAGAGAACAAAAATAAAATATCAGCCACAAGTTCTTGTTTGAGTGGCTGGCAACTGATACTTATAACTTACAAGTATCAAATATAAACACAAGATAAGAGAGAGGTGAAAGCAAAGCACAATTTGCTTAAGGGGAGAAGAAACATGATTGAACTTACAAACAAGCAAAAGGAAGAAGGAACAATCGGAAGAGGCATCGAAATTTATGTTTTTTTTTAATGAAAGCTTATAAAGCACATGAATGCCAAGTTGTTTTTTTGAACTTTTTGGTGATTCAAACGTAGGATCAGTGTGCTGGCTAACTACAACTGTACAACAAAAGCTAACCAGACACTTGAGATTCTTGAGACTTGAATCAGAAAAGGGAAAAAGAGAAGAAATAAAAACAAAAGAAAGAAAACCCTTAACAAGCGACATAACAGGCTGTCTTTATTGAAACTGATGGGACTATTGCTGGTCTTGTTCAACGGCTAAAATCCCAAAAATTCATTCACACTTGGTTGGCAACAAAAATCAAAATCCATATCCCAAGAGATTCCCTGGGAATCTCAAAAAGCCTGAAATTCTAGAAAAATGAATGCCAGAACATCCGCATGAATAAGTTCAAACTGTTGAAGTTCCAAAACCCAGAACGACTTCTTGCATTGTTTACCCCAAGTCCTCTACTTTTCCTACAGGTGTTTTTTTTTCCCTTAAAAAAAGCCACTTTTCTCACAAGTTTTGTACTTCCATTGTTCAGAAAATCTAGAATGAAAAATCCAAATCTTAGAATTAAATTCAACATCATGGGTTGATGTATGTTCATTGTCATTGCTTGTTGGGATTAATGATGTGTGTACTTCCAACTGTGAGGTTGTATTTACTATGAGAACAGTTTATACCAATGAATAAATGAAGAGGGAGGCTTGGGGCTTGAGAGAGTTGGACTTTTTGGCTCCCAAGTCACTGTCTTAAAATGAATGAAGGCAGAGAGAGAGAGAGAGAGAGAGAGAGAGAGGTCAATAAATCTGACCATGCCCTGCAAGAATGGAGCTGAAGAGAATCATGAACAATGAAAAAAGCAGCTTTTTTTTCAGGCTTGAGCTTACCGGTTTGTTTTCTCAGTTCTTGAGCTGACCTTTTTGCAGGTTTGCATTGAAACAACCCAGAAAAGCAGCCAAAGACAAACACATAATTAATGGCACACAACGTAAGATCTTGCAACTTGCAAGTAGGTCCGGATGTTCCTATGACACAAAACAGTTGTTCTTCGAAGACTCTTTGTTTTTTGGACTCTTCGCATTTGTTAAGATTATTGAAGTGGTGATTACCGTCTGAAATAACTACATGAGCATTATTGAATTGTTAGTATTCATTTGACCAAAGAACAATTTTTTTTTTTTTCATTTGCCTAAACAAATTATTTAGTTTTCTAAAGTTAGGGGAAGTCATTTGATACATATTGTCGGCTCATTTCCTTGGAGTTTAAGTTTTTAAAACTAACACATAGTATCAAATTCTTATTCTGAATTGATCTAGAAAGTGGATATAATTAAGCCGCTATCCTTGAATTGCAATAATTAGTAAACTACATTTGTTAAAGAACAGAATTATATTTTGGCCCAAAAATTATCATCTCAGTGCCAAATAACTGAAACCATTGTCAAAATCTAAAACTTTCCAATTGGTTTTGAGAAAAATGGCAAGGATGTTTAAATGATAACTGTTGTCGAATTATATAACCTGTTAACTAGAGGTTGAGAGAAGAATGTGGGACTGTCCTTTTCTTTGCAAAGGATTAGTATGCTTATAGAACATGATTAACAAGGATTTTAACCTTCCACAAAAAACACACAAAGAGCTCTCTAGCTTCTTGTCATTTTTCTGAATGCCCTGTCTTTCTTCTAACCCAACTATTATTAAATTCAACATCATGGGTTGATGTATGTTCATTGTCATTGCTTGTTGGGATTAATGATGTGTGTACTTCCAACTGTGAGGTTGTATTTACTATGAGAACAGTTTATACCAATGAATAAATGAAGAGGGAGGCTTGGGGCTTGAGAGAGTTGGACTTTTTGGCTCCCAAGTCACTGTCTTAAAATGAATGAAGGCAGAGAGAGAGAGAGAGAGAGAGAGAGAGAGGTCCATAAGTCCAACGAGTCTTAGCAGCGACAGTCACATGACACTGGCTTTGCCGTCCATTGACAGGGGCTCACATGCAAACGCCTTCCCTACTATCCTTTCCTTAAAATCCCTTTGCCTACCCAATTACTCAGCTTTAGGGGATATTGAGAGTGAGTGGATGAGGCAGTTTAGGTCTTAGTACTATATCCTTGTTTACAAATTTTTAAAATTGAATCATACCATTACCTAATCAAATATTGCTTAGGGCCCCTGGAAACTTCTGTTCATAAGATTGTTAGGAGTACATTTTAATTTTGTGAATTAAAAAACCAAGTGCTTTTTTTCAAAAGAAGCATCTTGCCAGGTACTTCTTCATAAAGTATTGAAAATTTCTTTTCGAAGTCAAAAGTGTTTTTTCACTTTTGATGTAAAACACCATGAAAAGAGAAATTTTTTTGGGAGTTAATTTTCCCACTCCTGTTTTGTTCACTTACACTCCATTTGTTGGAAATTGTATGCTCCCACTCCTCTTTTGTCTACTTACACTCCCTTGTATATTAGAGTAAAAAGTATTTTTAAAAAAATAAAAAAGAGTGTAAATGGACAAAAAGGAGTGGGAAAATCAGCACCCTTTTTTTATTTATCTGAAAACGTTTTTATCCATTTCAAAAGTAATGCCAAAGTGTGTTAGAAGCTGCATTGTTTTTGTCAATTGCATCAAAGTAGTATCCAAAGCTTTGTTCGAGAGCTAAGGTGATGTACCAACATGTTACAGCCTCAACTTCCCACATTGATTGGTAGTTATATTTAATAGAGCATTCAAAAGAAGGTTGTATGCCTCTGAAGATTTTATAACAGATTGTAGAGACTTCGTTGGCCTCAAATCTTGGCCAATGAAGTCCAGCCAAAGACTTCAACTAGTTGATGTTCTTTTATGGGGTACTACCACTCGGGTTGTGAAACTTGAGAGGAGAAATTACAAATTATTTAATATTGAAAGAGATCCCAGAGTTAAAATTCTCCATCTTCATTAGTAAAAGAAATGTGCATCAGTACTAAGTGAATAAGCCAGTTTAGGAGCGGATGTCTCATTTTTTGCATTGTCAGTCAATCGTCATGAACACTTGAACACTACCGAGTGTCCAACAATACGAGAATTGTAAGTTCTCAAATTTAATGAATGTCCGAAAAACACTTTAATCTTTGTAGTTTTTTACGATTTTCAATTTCGTCTCTATAATTTATACAAAGAACAATTTTCAATTTCGTTTCTATAATTTATACGAAGAGTGAGACGCAAACTTAGTACAAAGGGATCAACTCAATGCCCTGGCCAACTGAAGTAACTCACATGTGATGTCCTATAATTTAAGAACGGGTAATAATTATAGTTTACATTAGGTATGCAATCTTGGGCCTTCTTCATATTCTCTGTTACCCCCTTCTTAATGGGTTATGTGCTATACTGGGCCCTACCCATAGAGTGGAGCCAAGAGTTGATCCGATAAAACCCAGCACAAGTTGGGTCCTTTTTCTAGCTGCGTCTGCGTCGCTGCGAGGCAAAGGCAAAAAGCAGCCATAGTTGTCCTCCATTTGCAGAAAATTTGAAGAAATCCAACAATCAGGATTAGATATTCAACGCCATGATTAGCATTCTTGCTCAGGTAAAATCAAGATTTTCGACATAAATGCTTCAGTTCCAATTTGATTCTTGCTTTTCTGTGAACAAGTTTTGATAATGCAGGAGCGTCTTCTGGGCGCTGCACTCGGAAGCATATTCACCGGAATCGTTGTGTTTGAGCAACGCAGATGCATCTACAACTCCATTTCTGGCACCAAATCTCAATCCGTCACCCAATCTCAGGTAATTCCCAAATTCTTATTCATATCTATGTAGAACTACGCCATTTTGTGGAGACAGAAACCCTAGCTTCAGTCTGTAAAGTCTTGATCTTGTTGATTTATAGGCTTACCCAATTGATCATAATAATAACCAGATAATGAGGATATGGGAGGACCAGGATTGCTTAATCAGTATACCTGGCTCATTTGTTGGGAAAAGTTTTATTTTTTATTTTTTATTTTTTTATAAAATTTCAATTTTAATATAAGATCATGGCTTAATGTTAATGACCGTGGTGCTAAGCTATAAGCATGTAACAATGTGGAACTGAATTGGTGATGATCACAACGATTGTCGGCCATGAAGGGTATGAAAATGCAGTGGAACAATCATGGACTTTTCTGTCTTTGCTTTCTCCAGGAACTTATAGCTCAACAATACAAACAATTAAGTTTGATAATTGAACAATGAAGCTGCTTGGTAGGGATGTTCACCACTCCTCTTAAGACATTTGATAGTTGAACAATAATAAAAAGAAAGAAACATCTTTTCAATAAAGGATGTGATAATTAGAAATGTGGCATGCCCTGCCGAATTGCAATTCTGTAGAGTATGCACAGAAAGCATTAGCATGGAGGGACTTGTGAGTATTGTGTGGTAACATAGGAGCAAAGAACAGAGGATGTGTGTTATCTAGTATATACATGGCCTATTAATCATGTACCAGGTAGAATATTTATTACTAACGGAAACATATTATTACATTCTTTATATTATTCCTGGTCACTATCGTTGTCCATTGATAATTTTAGTAATAATTATTTCGAATTCGGGAATGGGGAAGGAAAAATGAAGTTAAAAGTAGTTTAGTATTGACTTAAATTTTCTCAGATGCTTAGGTAGTGGTTATTTAGCAGAAGTTTTCCCACCTCTATACACACTCCCTGCCAGTAGTTAGGACAAAGCTCTTAGTTCATGAAAGTTGAAGAATATAGGAAGCCATTGAGTTTAGAATCTCTTTTGGTTAGGCAATATTTCCAGAGCAGGAACTTTTCAAGTGAGGTTGTGAACTCGGGATTTATGCCTTCTTGTTCTGGATTTCTGTGCACTTTCCCTATTTGGCCTGTTTCTTGGATATTCTCTATTAAACTTATCATGTTGCATGGAACAGTGAACTTTACTGAACCTACCGATACGCACGCATAGCATAGAATGAATGTTCTATGAAAATAGTGACTTCCCAGCTTGCAGTATGTAGATTCTAATGGTTTGAGCTTTCAAAATCCTGCAGATTAGAGAGCCGATATTTGGAAGCAAATCTCGTGCAGAGTTTGCGCATCTTTGGAACAAAGCTGTGGACCAGACATTTCGACCTGTGATTGAGTCTCTTAGTTCATCTGGATGGTAGTAGATACATTTGAATAGCTGCACTGCACCGTATGGAATTCTACTTTCGTGACATTTATACATGCTAAACCAAACTTGCCCACATTTGTATTTTTTTTATCAAATTTTGAGCAATCAGAAGGGAATGCACTTTGTCCATGATTTCAAAGGCATGATGACTTTGACGGATTTTTGTTTGTTTGTTTTTTAGCTTTACAATAGTGAACATGCTTGTCGGCTTCTTCATAATGCATATAACGTGGGACAACTCATGAATCATGATGTACCAAAAAGTCAGAATCGAATATTGGTACCAGAATGGTTTTGGCTCAGATTGTCAAACACAGTCCCTGTAGTTCATTTTTTCAATTGCGACCATTGGAAGTTACTCCCATAACCTCCTCAGCGATTTTCCTGTCTCCCCAATTATTTTACTTTACCAGTAATTTACTGCCCTTAGTGATGATTACATTGATAATGATTTGAATATCATGTTTACCTACTTGGTTTGATCGAAATAAGGAAAGGAATCGTGGAACTTAATAATAGGGGAATTAAGAATTTGGAATTTGATCAATTACTCTCCCTAGAGTTTATTCAATTTCTTGTTTTGAGGGTATTGGATTACAGATTTTAAGGTGGGATTCAGATACTTGTGTGTTAGTAAACTTATGCGTTAGTAAAAACGTGAGGAAGTAAGAAATTGAAATAATTCATTTTCTTCTAAAACACTTTCTTGATAAGTAAACATGTCGTACTCGTAATTACCATGCAACTAATCACTAATAAATTATAGCTACAAACTAAATAATCTGGTTTTAGTACAATGAAAGAAAGATCCATAGAGAGATGAAATTGGGTTCGAGGCTTTGGTCAAGCTGTGAAACCTCATGCAGTGAGAACATCAGGTTTGACAGTGTTGGCTTTCCTCATATCTTCTCTACGTGAGACAAGTACACGGTAAACACCCATGGCCACAAAGGCTGCAAATGCTAAACCAAACACAATGCCAGCAATCCCACCAACTCCCAATCTGGTCCTTCCATTCTGGGATGCAGAAACTTTGCTCTCAAGTGCTTCAGTTGCTTGCACTTGGGCTGCTATAGGCATTAATGGTGAGCAATTGGATGCCTTACAGGGGTCTTTGGCAATAGGGTTTTGGTTGGTTGGATGAAAAAATTTATAGGCTGATGGTGGAAAAGCCATTGGGTTTTCTCTGGCTAAGCCATGGGGGGCTCTTTCTTCTGCAGCACTGGCAATGGAGAGAAGGGTCAGAGAAGAGAAGAAGATGACAAAGAGAGAAACCATGGAAGTCATTTTTTTTTTCTCACTTCCTTGCTTATGTTGTTTTCTTCTCAACCTTGTGCTTCAGTCTGGCTTTTATAAGGTCCTAAACCAGTGGTTGTTGCTTGGACTATAATTTTGCTGATGAAAAATAGGTCAGGAGGGAACAGAATGATGGTGATGTTCTCTATGCCATCCCTAATAAAACTGTCTAAACCCCCACAAATACCCTTATAAAGGTTAGTTTTGTTTCAGTTTTCTGTTAATCATGATCTTTATTGAGAAGTTGCATGCCAGTCCTTGAGAGGGTTTTGAAGGGCAATTCCAATTTCTCCTCCTAGTCACTGCCCCATTTGGTTGGAAACTTGTGACCTATTGCAGTGAAGTGGTCTGATTGTCTATTAAATTTGTTTCACAAGCTTAATTTTTTTTAGTACAAGCGATTGAGGGAGGGGGTTTACACAAATATGCATTGAGTGTCTGGGGGTTTCGAACCTCTGCCCACATGGGTGGAGGTGGAAGAGCTAAACCAACTGAGCTATATCCTACTAGCGTCTTAATGTTCGCTACTATTTTTCTTTGAGGAAATTAACGTTCACTGCCTCACCTTCTATTAATCATGATTTCTCTACTTGAGTACCTTAAATAAGCAGACATGAGCCCTCCATATCCTTATTTGATAGGTTTTGATCAGAAACACATGTACATAAACATCAAATCAAACTCATGGTCTTAACCACTTTATTTCCC